TACACACACACACACACACACACACACACACACACACCTTTTTCTTTATCTATTCATCTGTCGAAGGACATCATAGCTCCTTCCACAGTTTGGCTCTCCTGGATTCTCCCTATTTCTTAACTGGATTATTTCTTTTTTGAGTGTTGAGTTTGATAAGTTGTTTATAGATTTTTGGGTACTAACCTTTTATCAGAAATGTTCTTTGCAAATATCTTCTCCCATTCCTAGGCTGCCTTGGCTGCCTTTTAGTTTTCTTGTTAATTTTTTTAACTTTATTGTTTTCTTTGCTATGCAGATGAAGTCCCTTTCATCTCGAGGAAGTCCCAATAATTCATTTTTGCTTTTGTTTTCCTTGCCTCTGGAGACATGTCTAGTAAGAAGTTGCTCTGGCCAAGGTCAAAGAGGTTGCTGCCTGTGTACTCCTCCAGGATTTTGGTGGTTTCCTATCTCACATTTAGGTCTTTCATCCATTTTTAATGTGTTTTTGTGTGTCACATGTAAGAAAGGGGTCCAGTTTCATTTTTCTGCATGTTACTGTCCAGTTTTTCCACTACCATTTGTTGAAGAAACTGTCTTTTTTTCCATTGGATATTCTTTCCTGCTTTGCTGAAGATTAGTTGACCATACAATTATGGGTCCATTTCTGGGTTTTCTGTTCTGTTCTTTTGATCTGTATGTGTGTTTTTGTGTAGTACTATACTGTCTTGATGACTACAGCTTCAGCAGACAACAAAAAGAAGTAAAAAACATCCAAATTGACAAGAAGGAAGTCAGACTTTCACCATTTGCAGTTGACATGATACTCTATGTAGAAACCCAAAGACCCCACCAAAAAATTATTAGAACTGACACACACATTCAGCAAAGTTGCAGGATACAAAAATCAGTGTACAGAAATCTGTTGCATTTCTATATACCAGTAATGAAGAAGCAGAATGAGAAATCAAGGAATAGATACCATTTACAATTAACCCCAAACCATAAGATACCTAGGATACCTAACGAAGGAGATAAAAGACCTACACTCTAAAAATCATAGAACATTTAGGAAAGAACTTGAGGATGACACAAAGAAATGGAAAAATGTTCCATAATCATGGATTGAAAGAACAAATATTGTTAGAATCTCCATATACCCAAAGCAGTCTACACATTTAATGCAATCCCTAGGCAAATACCACTAGCATTTTTCACAGAGCTACAACAAACAATCCTAAAATTTGTATGGAACCACAAAAGACCCCGAATAGCCAAAACAATCTTGAAAAAGAATAAGCAGGAGGCACTACAATTCTGGACATCAAGTTATATTACAAAGCTATTGTCTAGTTTTAACTTTTTAATCCTGTTAGTCAAATATTTCCCTTTCCTGTGTTTAGATTTTCATTTTCTTAATTAACTTATTGCTGTGCTCCACATGAGATAGAGTATTAGGTCTTACATTACTTGGTGGTCTGAGAATGTTTGATGAAAAATGTAGATCATGATAGCAGATATTTTCTTGGACATATACCTCAAGGGAAATATTACTGAACATAAATTTAAGAAGAAGACAGATTTCAGAGGTGATATCAAATCTGGAGGATGTTTTATTGGCAAGTCCTCTGCATTTAAGGGTTGTATCAGTACATGTGCTCATATTAACTACGCTAATAGGCCACAGAGAAACTATACATATCTTTAGATAGGTCTACAGAAGAAGTGTTGCCTTTTGTGTTTGACACAGCTTAAGTTTATAGCCTTCCAGAACATAATAATTGCTAAAGAGTAGTCTTACCATAGCAGCGTAACAGAAGATTAAAACAAAACAAAACAAAACAAAAGCCCTGTTTAAATAGTATAGCAACAAATTTTTCTTGATAGAGTACCTTAAGTTTTTGGAAAAGCTCATTGTAGACTCTGGCATTACGAGATATATGTATATGCAATTCTGCCCTCAATGATCCTTAGAGATAATCTCTGTGGTTTAGTTTAATGTTAAGGTAAACTTGGCATTCTTCCTTTTTTTAAAAACTATTTTTCTAACCCTGGAACATTGCTTGCTGATGGGCCATTTCTTACACTTACAGAGGCTTTTATGAATAGTCTTGAAATGTTGGAGAGCCATTGCTAATGTTCCTTTTGTTTTTTTTTTAATTTTTATTTATTTATGATAGTCACACAGAGAGAGAGAGAGAGCGAGAGAGGCAGAGACACAGGCAGAGGGAGAAACAGGCTCCATGCATCGGGAGCCTGACGTGGGACTCGATCTCGGGTCTCCAGGATTGCGCCCTGGGCCAAAGGCAGGTGCCAAACTGCTGCACCACCCAGGGATCCCCTAATGTTCCTTTTGGATACCCTGTAACTGACTAAAGTTACTTAATTTTTTTCTATAGTAGGCATTCAGTAAATATTTTTTTAAGATTTTACTTATTTTAGAGAGAGAGAGTGAGCACAGGGGAGAGGGGCAGAGGGAGAGAGAGAAAGAAGCAGACTCCCCACTGAGCAGGGAGCCTGGCACAGGGCTAGATCCAGAACCTGGGATCATGACCTGAGTCCAAGGCAAGACACTGAACTGACTGAGCCACCCAGGGACCCCTTCAGTAAATATTTTTTAATAAGTAAATGAAAATAAATGTTTTCTTATCTAATTACAGATTTTACTCTTTAGTCTTATCATTAAGATTTTACCAATCAAAACGGGGAGAGATTTTGCTACGGATTTTCTTACCTTGACAGTGTTTTTTCTCTCCTTACAATATATAGCATCACTTATTTCATCTTTATCTTTTTTTAATTTTATTTATTTATTCATGACACACACACACACACACACACACACACAGAGGCAGAGACACAGGCAGAGGGAGAAGCAGGCTCCATGCAGGGAGCCTGATGTGGGACTCGATGCCGGGTCTCCAGGATCACACCCCAGGCTGAAGGCAGCGCCAAACTGCTGGGCCACCAGGGCTGCCCCATCTTTATCTTTTTTTAAGTCTATTTATTGTTTTTGGTAATCTGTACACCCAAGGTAGGGCTCAAACCCTGAGATCAAGAGTCACTTGCTCTTCCAACTGAGTCAGCCGGGTGCCCCTCATCTTTATTTTATGCATAATCCTACAGATTCATCATTTTTTATGTTTTATACTGTTCTTATGCCAAATTTTGCATCTTTATACTTTTTAATATTTCTCTTATCATCTACTTGCTCTCTCATCCTATGGCTATAACTTTTGCCTAGGTTGTAATATTGTATGCCTTGTACCTTGACCTAAGTTTGAGAACTTCTTTCTTATTCCTTTACAATTGCTCTCCATATTTATAAAGGACAAATATATACAGTATCAGGATATTTATAGTATAGTGAAAGAAATTATAAAACTTTAGCTAGAGAGAATTTTAAAAATTGTCTAGACTAGCTTTTTTCTTCATGAATGAGAATAATGATGCCTAGAGAAACAAGTACAGTTTTCTAGCATCCCCATGTATATACATGGTTTTCCACTTTGCACTTTGGAGGTTTACTTGATTTGAAATAGTATCTTGGCAAAGGTGTTTCAGAAGCTGACTGATGGATTAAAGATTAGTATGGTAGAAATAATTCATGGTTCACACGTTTGACAATTCTAGAAAAACTGAGAGGCAGTAGGAATTACTGTGAAAGGTAGTGCAAGTATGCTTGAGAGTAATGGCAAAGAGGAAGGCTTTGGAAAGGAATGGCAACAATGGAGGCAGGATAACCTGAGACCGGGGATAAATTGTCGTCATGTGTCTGTCTGTTTAGTTGTCTGGATTCCTTGTATTCGTTATCAGTTTGAGTTTATCCTCTTAGAAGGAAGGACTTGAGTCCCATTCATGGGCCTAACAGTATGCTAAACATGAATAGTAGGGGTTGGAGAAATGGCTTTAAAGTCATTATGAGCAAGAAGACATAAACCTATTTTTTGAATACTACCGTGTGCCATGCACTTTCATGCAAATTATTTCAAAGAAAAGATGTAATCAACTCCAAACATTCAAAAATCTAATTTTCATTCTGTTACCTCATTGATATCAAGTGTCTCCACCAGAAAGCTAGCAACAAAGAAAAGGCTATTGTAGTTCATATTATTCGGAAATTGTTCTGGTAGAGCAGCGGTCTGGAAGGAAGTAAATTTAGGAGCTCAAAGGAGTCCCTGTGGATTTCCTTTACACATATTGCTGTGTGATCTTGATCTTGTTGGATAAGTGTTGTACTCTCTTTGGAGGAATAAGTCCCAATAACAGAAAAATTCAGGGCAGAGTAACATGAAAATTAGGGTTGTCGTTTTAGGATAAGTTTTAATATTGTTCCTATTTAATTTAATTAACCTCTTTCTGATAGGATTGAGTTGGAATACTTTTCAGAGGTAAACATTAAAGATACAGAAGATACAGATTTTTTTGCTGAGTGTGTTTTAACACTTTGTAATTCTTTTTGGACTAAGAATAATTGTAATACAAACCTTTTTTTATGTTTAATGCCATCTTTTTATTCTAGTCTAGCTATGTATGCTACTGAGGAATGTGGGGTGTCAGTACCAAGAAAAAGAGTAAAATAACCTATGTGTATTTAATGAAATATTTAAAAGATATATAAATTGTTTATTTCATTGACAGGATTTAAATAAAAATATGAAAACGATCCAAGTCAAAATACATTGATTGTGCCTTTTTTGATAAGAAATGAAACTGTTTTAAAAGTTGGATATTTTTTCTGTCCTGGATTACCACTGGGAACTTATATTCTTTGTAGGACTTTCCATATTTAAGATACTTCTGATGATTGGGAACACTTTTGATGTAAAAATCATGTTCATATTTTATTACAAAGGTATGCAAGATTGCCTTATGGAAGGTTAATTTTTTAAAAAAAGCGAAGCATAGGTTATCCCTGAAGAAATCAGCACAGCTCTGGAAAAAATCTAGTTTTGGTAAATGACAGCTCTAGGCACATATTTTCTTATTCTCATAGGCATTTTCTTTTCATTTTTGTATTTCAGAGTAAGTGAGGAAAAGGAAGTGACAGAAGAACGATTCCGAGCTGAGCAAGAATCATTTGAGAAGAAGATCAGGCATTTGGAAGAACAGAATGAACTGATCATCAAAGAAAGGGAAGATATCCTTTTTGAAAGTCCTCTTTTTTAATGTGCAGGAAGTTTGGCTCTTTCATGAAGAAAATATACACTCCAGAGAAATAATTGTTCTAATTTATAACAGGGAATAAATCTGCATGGGCTGCCATTTTTAGGCAATCAAAACGACACTTAACAGCATGTGCTGTTGCTTCCTTTGTGCTTGATATGGCCACCCAGCTGTTCTGCTATTGCTATTATACTGCGGAGCACATATTTGTCAACTAAAAAAGACAATAAGAAATTTGGACATTAACATGTAATGTTGGAACTTTACTGAATTCTGTTCCACTGCTCTAATTGAGCCTGAAGCTTCTTTGTATTTGGCATTCTTTCTAGCAAAAGCTTTGACAGCCCTGAGGAATTCTATTCTGAAATCATAAAAATTTTTTAAGAATCCATTGTAATTTGTAGATGTTGTAATTGCTAAGTATTTACACTGCAGCATAATACCACCAAAATTCTCATGGAGGAAAAGACTAGGGATTAAAACTGGAAGTGTGTGTGTGTGTGTGTGTGTGTGTGTGTGTGTGTGTGTGTAATATAGCATTATTTGTAAACTGGCATTTTAACTTAAGAATTGTACTTTAAAGAATATGTGAGTTAAAATAAGCATATTTCTGAAGTTTCTTTTGACTGGGAGGAATTACTTATCTTGGAGTGTTTTTGCAGTGGTGTTGATAGAAAAGAGAAGTAACTGCCCCTAAAGTTTGGGCGATAGATTGACCAACTAAACTAGTCTATGAATACTTCAAGGAACCAGTGCCTTTATTGGCAATATCGCCATTAACTTGATGGTTAATAATCATTTCAAAAGTTCTTCAAGTGTTAAAAATGATCATATCCAGTGGACGGTAACTATACCTTCATGAATACCAGGGAAATAGAAACATAAATATAAATTAATTCACTTGGGAAAACATGAAAAATGTAACTGTAAAAAATGAGTTCTAAACTTTTTTTTTTCAAAAAGTGGAAATACACAATTGGGAATTAATATAATCAGAATTTTTAGATTTGATTTGCTGAGTAGATATTTATAAAGTTTATTTTCCCACAATTCTAAAGGTGTACTTTCTCAATTATTTCTTTTCTGTAACCCTGTAGCATGTGAATAATCATCTTGAGTCTTCTCTTTTCTTTGCCCTCATTGACTTTATTGTATTAGGCTGACAACTGTCATGATAGACCCTTTTTTGTGATATTCTTCCTGCTGCTTTTCTCTCTGGGTGAAAGTAGTGCTGTTTAGTCAGAACTCACAACAGACTGTACTCAGCCACTTCGGGTTCTTCACATCTCACAAGGAATAGTGACTCAGACTTCCAAAAAAGGTAGATTAGGAATATTTTTATTTGTGACAGAAGTTCACTTACAGTGTCTGTTTTTTCCCATGTAACAACTGGAGATAAGTGACCTCTGGCAGTGCTTCAGTGGTTTCAAGTTTTCAGCACTGGAACTCTACAGTTGTCTTAGCTTGTTCTAATGGTTTCAGAATTTCATGTTGCAGAATGGTTGCTCTAATTCCAGATGTCATATTTGCCCTGAGACAGGGAAAAAGGGAGAGTTCTGGCAGTTGTGACTTAGTCTCCTTTTTTGAAAAAAACATGAGATCTTAGGGCACTTCCACCCTGCTCCCCAGCCCTCCCCCAGCTGCCAGCAGTCTTTCATGAGATATTTATTGTCCAGAACTTTACTGCATGGCCATGCTAAGTTTCAAGAACGGCTATTTAACCTTGTCCAATTTATAGGGTGAAAGGCAGCAAGGGAGAAAGGGACTGGGAATGAAGTCAGCCTCCAACTCTATCTGGTAGCAGAAGTAGGGGAAATAGAAACCTCTTTCTTTATATATAGAGAAGGAGGTGATGATGCCTTGGCCTTCCTGAGACAAAAAAAAAAAAAAAATATTATGTCCAGTGGAATTAGGGCAAAGTGGGGAAATAAGGTGAGAAAGGGAGGTAGTAGGCAAGTTTGAAAGCCTGGCCACAGTTAAGGCCTATTTATCTGGTAATATGCTTAACCAAAATGTGTAACTATCTAGAAAAGTTAAATCTGTTTTTTGGGGACTATTCTATTTTAGCACTCTTTGAGTCAAGATTAATGGATTTGGTGCTGAAAATTCAGCATGGCTCTGAATGGTTTCCCTCTGTCAGCCTAAGTCATAAGATATACCAGGTGAATGTATTTGCACTATTTTTCCTATTTTTTCAATGACTTAGCTCAGGGGTCAGTAAACTGCCAAACCCAGTAGGGTGTCAGCTAAATCTAGCCACACCCATTAATTCATGTGTTATCTGTGGCTGTTTTTGTACTGCAGCTGCTAGCTGAGTAGTTGCAACAAAAACCTCCGGCCTACATTGCCTAAAATATTTACTTCTGGCTCTCTACAGAAAAGTTTACTAAACCCTGATCTGTCTTATAAGCTAAGAAGGAAAGGAAAAGGCAAAGGCATGTAAATAAAGTCAGATTTAGGCATATGTCACAGTTGGAACTATTTTACATACAATATGAAAAGATTTGACTTGAGTATTTGTTATTGTGAATGAAGATTGGTGTAAGTGTGAGACCATTATCAAAAATTGAATTGGTCTAGTTAATATAATTGGTTTAAAAATTTTTTTTTAAATATTTATTTTTATTTTTATTTATTTACGATAGTCACACACACACACACACACACACAGAGAGAGAGAGAGAGAGAGAGGCAGAGACATAGGCAGAGGGAGAAGCAGGCTCCATGCACCGGTAGCCCGACGTGGGATTCGATCCCGGGTCTCCAGGATCACGCCCTGAGCCAAAGGCAGGCGCTAAACTGCTGCGCCACCCAGGGATCCCAAAATTTTTTTGAATCACCAAAGGTAGGTGGTATTTATGGAAGTGGAAGAAGGAAGAGAGGAAGTTATGATTTAAAAACAGCGACACTCATGGTTTTTATTTCAAGTAGATTCCTCAGGTGCAAATCTCCTTTACTAGCATAAACCTGTGAAAGGTTAATACAGACGATTTTACAGTACATAAAACCCTATAGAATTTAGAAACCTAAAACAAGGTTATAACTTAAAGCAATATAATTTTAACTACAGATACATTTACCTATCATACATGAATGATTCAGACTCTTTCATATATATGAAAGCAGATAATTTTAGGTCATTTTACAGTCTCTTTCTGTGTAACTGTACGAATTCTGATTTTTGTAATTTTAAAGATGTGTTATACTAAATTTATGGGGTTTTTTGTTTTTAAAAGTTTTAATAACTTGATTTATTGTACTATATGAATACAAACCAGTCCCTTGGTGGAAAAGAGAAAAGATATTTTACTTGTTTGCATTTGGACCAGGCTTTTGAAGATTTGTTCTTAACAGTGAATAGAGAATTTATTACTAAAACATAAAAATTCTTGTAATTTTCAGTCTTTGAATAAAGCTTATTTCCTGGGAACTTAACTATGTGAATGAATATGCCATTCACAAAGTCAAGCAGTCTGATGAACCTAGTAGATTTTTGCCTACTTAAATGAGTATGAAGAGAGAGAGAAAACTAGAAAGAAATATGACCCATAGGAATTGATCTGAAGCATGTTAGCAGGTAATAGTTTAAGATACAAAGAATGTGGCCATTAGAAAAGTTGATTAATATTTGAGCTAATTGGGGACACTTGGGTGGCTCAGTAGTTTAGTGTCTGCCTTGGCCTGGGGGTGTGATCCTCGAGTTCCGGGGATCAAGTCCTGCATTGGACTCCTGCAAGGAGCCTGCCTCTTCCTCTGCCATGTCTCTGCCTCTCTCTCTGTGTCTCTCATGAATAAATAAATAAAATCTTTAAAAAAATTTTTTGAGCTAATCATATTTTCAGAACATATGTTTCAGATCAGGATGATATCAAAAGCTTAACCGAAGGAAAGTTAAATCTGATGTTTGCTCTTTTAACTGGCAGAGCAAGGGAAGTAAGTGATAGAGAAGAAAGTATAGTGGCTTTAGAGACAAAATCCTGTTTTAGTGCTGGTAAGCTGTCTGACCTTGAAAAGCTAATGAACTTAGTTCTGAGTCTCTGTTTTCTTCTACAACAAATGGATAGCTAATAATGCCTTCTCATTTCTTTGCCTTTCTTCACTGCGGCTCTGATGGCTTTCACCAGGTTATACAAATGCCTAGGCTGTTTTGAGGCCTGGTGAGAGAGTGAAAGTGATCTGCTCTCTCTGCTTTATCTTCTAAATTCTATGCAAGATGTAACTTCTCTGTACTGCTTGGGTTGGGTCCTCACTGGGAGGAAACCAGGTCTGACTGTCCTCTCCCAAAAACTGGACTGACAGATCTTTTTCTCTTTCTGATCTGTTCCCATTTTTTGTTCCCATTTTTTTCTCTGGAACTCAGTAAATTGAAGAGAACTTTAGAGGTGCTTATAGCTCAGATACTTGAGCCCATTGGATAGGTGGTCATTTTAGAAACTTGGCTCTGGAAAGAAAGAATTCTAAGGAAACTACCCTTAACCTTTTTGAGGAATGTTTTAAAATGAGCCAAAGGTCTCAGGATGTGTGTGCTGAAAGTAGATTAGAGAAAATTCATAAGAATCTCATCTAATTATGTAAAAAGAAACCACTGATATTGAATAACAGTAATACTTCAGAGGTGTTCAGAGTTTCCTATTTAACTATATATCCATGCTACAGAATCAGATTACCATGATCTGTTGGGCTTTTGCCAAGGATAGGAAGCGCACTGTAGGAAGCTCTATTGTAGATCTGGGTACAGTGCTGTTGAGTGGATAGGGAGGGTGGGGAAAGATAGTTGAAATAGGTTTCATGAGAAAGGAAATAAGTTTCAAAAGGTTAAGTTTTACCTTCCTAGTTAATTTTTCTGGCCCATCATAAGAGAAGGCAGGAGAGTTTCTAGTTTTAGAAGCAGTTTTGGGACAATTAAAATTCAAACCTTCTTAAAATGTAGAAGATTAGCAGAAGAGAGGGTGTTTTGGTGTTTGACAGGGTGGT